AAATTGTGATAGTCACGAGCATTCTCGCCAAAAACAAAAAAAAAATCGCTTCAAGTATTCCGAGATGCGGGCATATCACATTGCATTGTCAAAAGTCGAGAAAAAAAAGTATTTATGTGTGTACGTGAAACCTTAAATATACGAATCAAAACGCCAAATTGTGTTCGAATCAATGACGGCTCCGCCACACCGTCATGCATTTCTTTTGTCGGTATGGAGAACATAATGCGAAGGGCGACGGCACATTTATGCTTTGATATTGATTGCAAACCCGCGCGCGTTTGCGATCATTTTCTTTCGCACGCGCACCTTCCACAGTATGTAGAAGTTTGTCTTATTATGCGCTTTCAGACACTTGTGCACATCAAATTAAATTGCATACACACACATATATAGATTCGAATATCGATATTTATATTTTATCATTTTGCATCCAATTGTGCACGAAGTGTTCCCGTTGCAAAACACATTCGCAAGTGTAAGCGAAAAACAATAGGGACTCAACTCGACAATCGGTGAAATAAAAAATGACAATAACAACTCTGCTGCATTCAGTCTTTCTTTTGCGCCGTTGTTACTGCTGCTGCTGAATATACGAGAAGAAGCTGCAAAAGCAACGAACGAATCGAGAGAGAGAGAGAAAAGTGAAGGAAAAAAGAATGAAATGAATGGAAGAATCATGCAAGCTCATCAGGCCAAATGAACACCCAAATGAAATGGCAATGCACAAAATGCAGACGATAAGCATGTATCTGTGCTGTATTCACGTATTTCATACACACACACACACACACACACATGCACGCCAAATCGAAAAACATGCATCACATTGACGACATATCGATTCCGCGGGCTACGGAAAATTGTTAGTCAGGTTGTTATTACGGATATATGTGCCCTGTGTGAAATTCGTACGATGTGCTCATTTTATTATATCTCATTCACATTGTGTGTGATTTTTATGCGATGCATTGTTGCTTCGTTTGTTCGTTGATTATTTTCATAAAAACACAAGCAACAAGAAAGCGAAGAAGAAGAAGAAGAGCTGATTGTGAGTAAATAGCGAAAAATTCCCGAAGCTTTTCTGCATGTTGTTTTTCAAGCCCATCATCATTCGTCACGTTGTTGTTGGAACAACACGCGAAAAAAAATAAACGAAGTGACACAAATGATGGGCATCATCACGGACCGTTTTCGAGCGTGTCGGCTCATTTCCACCCAAACTGTATATAATTTTCATGAAACACTCTGGCACGTATGACATGAAGTGTGTGTGTGTGTGTGTGTGTGTGTGTGTGTGTGTGTGTGTGTGTG